TTTTTTTTTTTTTTTTTTTTTTTTTTGATATGGAGTCTGGCTCTGTTACCCTGGCTGGAGTGCAGTGGCATAATCGTGGCTCACTGCAACCTCCACTTCCTGGGTTAAAGTGATTCTCCTGCCTCAGTCTCCAGAGTATCTGAGACTATAAGTGTGTGTCAACACACCCGGCTATCTATTAGTATTTTTTAAATTAAACTTCAAAATAAAGGCCAAGCATGGTGGCTCTCACCTGTAATCCCAGCACTTTGGGCCGAGGCAGGCGGGTGGCCTGAGGTCAGGAGTTTGAGACCAGCCTGGCCAACATGGTGAAACTCCGTGTCTACAAAAAATATTTTACAAATTAGCTGGGTGTGGTGGTGGCCGCCTGTAATCCCAGCTACTCGGGAGGCTGAGCCAGGAGAATCGCTTGAACCTGGGAAGCAGAGGTTGCAGTGAGTTAATGCCGTGCCACTGCACTCCAGCCTGGGTGACAGGAGACCTCATCTCAAAAATAAATACATAAATACATGCATATATACATACATACATACATACATAAAGTCTCTCTTCTCATTACCGTCATGTCTGAGTCAGAGTCTCCAAAGAGCCTGAACAAATAAAAAATTCTACTCAGAGTGGTTACTCAACCATACCTGCCTTGGATGTGACACCAAGGTTCTTTCCGGAAAGAAGCTTGCACTCCTGCTAAGATCACCAAGCTCTCCTTCCAATACTGCCTTCTTCCAATATTTTAAAGGGCTTATGAGGACTATTCTAAGAAGGAGGCTGGAACTGACAGCGATTATCCACCTCCCCTAAGAGGACCAGCATGGAGGATAAGCCCATCAAGGCCAATCCCCTTGTTTCACTTTTAAGGTTATTTCAGGATCTCATGCCCAGAAAGGTGTCTATCTTAAGTTCTCTCTCCTATCCACCCTTTAATGCATCCCGTGCACTACACCCTCTAATTCAGGGCCCGACATCTGTAAGATCTCTAGATCCTTGTCCTGTTCTGTAAGCAGCCCTTCAACTTCTTTTTTTTTTTTTTTCCCCTGAGATGGAGTTTTGCTCTTGTTGCCTAAGCTAGAGTGCAATGGCACAATCTTGGCTCACTGCAACCTCTGACTCATGGGTGCAAGCGATTCTCCTGCCTCAGCCTCCTGAGTAGCTGGGATTACAGGAGCCCACACCAGCACCCAGCTAATTTTGTATTTTTAGTAGAGAAGAGGTTTCCTCCATGTTGGTCAGACTGGTCTCGAACTCCCAACCTCAGGTGATCCGCCGGCCTCAGCCTCCCAAAGTACTGGGATTACAGCCATGAGCCACCATGCCCAGCCGCAGCCCTTCAATTTCTACTTCACTGAAACATGACTATTAACCCTAGGACATGACTATTACCTCAGGAACTGCTTCCCCAAAGTACTCTCAGGAGTGGCCTTTCTCTGTCTCGTACAAGCCCCATAAGCCACGCTCTACTGTCTTGGAGAAGGAACCCTCATTGCTGCATCAAGACTATTGCTCCTCCCATTTCCGTTACTGTTTGGTTTTTGTTTGTTTCTTCTGAGACAGGCTATTGTTCTGTCACCCAGGCTGGGGTGCAGTGGTGTGATCACAGCTCACTGCAGTCTCAGACTCCTGGGCTCAAACAATCCTCCTGCCTCAGCCTCCTGAGTAGCTGGGACTACAGGTGTGCACCACCATGCCCAGCTAATTTTTTTATTTTTATAAAGATGGAGTCTCACTATACTGTCCAGGATGGTCGGGAACTCCTGGCTTCAAGCCATCCTCCCAACCTCTACCTCCCAAAGTGTTGGGATTACAGGTGTTGAGCAAGCGACCATGCCAGGCCAGCAATTTTTTTTGAGTCAGGGTCTTGCTATGTTGCCAAGGCTGGTCTTGAACTTCTGGCCTCAAGAGATCCTCCTGCCTCGGCCTCCCAAAGTTATGGGATTATGGACACGAGCCGCTGTGCCCAGCAGAAGCAGTATTTTAGTCAGTTATTCACTTGCCCACTAAAACCTAAACTTCCTGAGACCAAGAACACATTTTACTCTTTTTTTTTTTTTTTTTGAGACGGAGTATCGCTGTGTTGCCTAGGCTAGAGGGCAGTGTGGCGCAATCTCAGTTCACTACAACCTCCGCTTCCCAGGTTCAAGTGATTTTACTGCCTCATCCTCCTGAGTAGCGGGAATTAGCCCGCCACCACGCACGGCTAATTTTTTTATTTTTGGTAGCGATGGGGTTTCACCATGTTGGCCAGGCTAGCCTCCAACACCTGACCTCAAGTGATCTGCCCGCCTCGGCCTCCCAAATTCTGGGATTACAGGTGTGAGCCACTGTGCCCGGCCATGGAACTCACTTTACTCTTAATTTCCCCAATTCCTAGAACAGCGTGTGGCCCACAGAAACTCCACAGAATATATTTTTAGAATGAATGAATGACTTGCAAAGGATGAAGGCAAATAAGTAGATAACGAGTCCACAACCACGTGCCCTATACCCTTTTCAGCTCTGGGGAGATGGCGGCTCCCTGTGGGGTCGGGGATGGGGGTCTCCGTTCCTTTCGTCCTCCCGCCTCGTGGGGGAGTCAAGTCTCCGCAGGCGGAGAGCCCGGATGCTAGCGCGGCTAGGCGGCCCTCTCTATGGTGAGCCCCCGGGTCCCTCCTCCCCAGCACCCGGCGTGCCTCTATGGTTCTTCCTGTCCTTAGTCGGGAGGGGGCGCTGTGCGCAGGCGCGAGGTGACGCCGCGGCAGGGCCGGAAGGAGTGCAGCGGCTGCCTCAGCGGCGGCGACGGAGCTCACAGCTGCCGCTTCTGAGGAGTAAGCTGCGCGGCAGCGAAGGCCGCTGAGCCCGCCTAGCTAGCCGGGGAGTTGAGTGGCGAGTGAGTGTCGGCCGCGGGCGCGTTTGGGCTGCTGGGCAGGTCTGTGAAGCGAGGCGGCCTCTCTGCGGGGCGCCTCCGTGGAGCCCCGGGGGTGGGGGCGGGGGCGCGGGCCGTGAGGGCCGCGGAGCTGAGGGGCGCGGGCCGACGCCTGGGCAAGATCGGGCCCGGGGACTTGGCTGGGCGTCTCCGAGCCCCGTGCAGTGGCGAGGCGGGAGCGACAAAGGCGCTGGGAGGCCGGGCGATCTCCTCCCGCCACTTCGCGAAGTTTCGCGGGCCAGCCCGTCGGGACCGCTGCGCGAGGGCGACAGCCCGGGAGACCGCGCTTTCCTCCCCGGGGTCCGAGGCCGCCGCGGAGGCGGTGTCCGTGCACCCGAGCGCGGCCTGGAGGAGCGGTGGGAGGCGGCCCGTGCCTGTGAGCCCCAGCCCCGGCAGGCGGCGGTTTTCCACTTATCCCCTCATATTTGGAGCGGGTGTTGTTCTGCGAAAGTTGGTGAATGTCACTCGGCACTGGCGAGGGTACCGCAAGTGCGTCAAACCCTGCTGTGGGGTGCTGGGGGTTGCCCGGCTCGGGTGCCCGGGCGCTGGGCAGGAAGCGAGGCTGCTGTTTCCGCGGCATGGTGGCCCTCGTCCCGGTGGAACGGTGCTCCAAGACTTTGGGCTACTTGCAACCAATCCCGGCGCGTGCGCGGCGTGCGGGTTACAGAAATTTCTGACACATCCGCCAGGGCTGTGAATTCCTAAGGGCCTAGGTAGCAGTTGTCCTAGGTACTCTGATCATGCAGAGACAACGTTCTTTTTTCTCGTTTTGTTTTTCTTTTACTATTATTTTTTCTTTTTTTTTGAGACAGAGTCTTGCTCTTTTCTCCCATGGTGGAGTGCAATGTTGCGATCTCGGCTCACTGCAACCTCTGTCTCCCGGGTTCGAGCGATTCTTCTGCCTCAGCCTCCCCAGTAGCTGGGACTACAGGCTCTCGCCACCACATCCGGCTAATTTTTGTATCTTTCTTAGAGACTGGTTTTAACCACGTTGGCCAGGCGGGTCTCAAAATCAAGTGATCTTGCGGCTCAGCCTCCCAAAATGCTGGGATTACAGGTGTGAGCCAGCCACCGCGCTCGACCAGAACTTTTTTTTTTTTTTTTTTTTTGCTTTGTTTTGTTTTTTTGAGACAGTGTCTTGCTCTGTCGTCCAGGTTGGAGTGCAGTGGCGCCGTCTCAGCTCACTGCAACATCTGCCTTCCGGGATCAGGTATCCTCCAATTTCAGCCTTCCTAGTAACTGGGACTACTGGCACGCGCCACTGTGCCCGACTAATTTTTTGAGGGGGTGAAGGGGAGACGGAGTCTCGTTATGCTGCCCTACTGGTGGGTTTAAGTGACTCAGCCTCTCAAAGTGCGAGAAGTACGGGCTTGAGCCACCACGCTCTGCCAGAACATTCTTTGCCCGCTGAAAAGGGAGAGAGGACTGGGAAGATTTTATGAAACACCTCAATTTAGTCAGCTTGCCTTAAGGAAGAAGACTAAGAAATGGCCTGGCTTTGCCTTGGGTTTTGCATTTCATGATTTATTGCACCTGGGATGTGGGGAGTGGCAGTGGATTTGAGGAAATGTGTGGAGAGTCTGGGCCGGATTTTGGACCCGCCGGTAAACCTCATTAGAGGCTTTAGATTTTTACCCTGATAAGAGTAGCAGGAGCTAACAAAAGAGAACCCCTGAATCCCCTGTGGAGAAATCTGATAAAGAAGGGCTAGGTATGGGTGAGGCAGATTGAAAGTTAACGAATAGGGTCGTTGAGAGAGCTGCTGTTTGCTAACTCTGTTACGAGCTACTATTTAATGTGTTTATAAAATTCTAGGCATTACTATATTCTAGATCTTTAGAGACATAATTCATTGTCATACCTGACATCATTATATCTGCATTATTGTTAAAAAATAATAGAACATAGCCATGGTGGCTCACACCTGTCATCCCAGCACTTTGGGAGGCCGAGGCAGGTGGATGACCTGAGCTCAGGAGTTCAAGACCATCTTGGCCAACATGGTGAAAGCCCGTCTCTACTAAAAATGCACAATTAGCCAGGTGTGATGGTACATGCCTGTAATCCCAGCTACTCAGGAGGCCGAAGTAGGAGAATAGCATGAATCCAGGAGGGGATGCGGAGGTTGCAGTGATCCAAGATCATGCCACTGCTCTTCAGCCTGGCTGACGACAGATGAGATCCGTCTCAAAAAAAATAAATGAATAAGGCCAGGCACAGTGGCTCACGCCTCTAATCCCAGCACTTTGGGAGGTCAAGGCAGGTGGATTACCTGAGGTCGAGAGTTCCATGCTAGCCTGGCCAAGAGGGTGAAACCCACCTCTACTAAAAATACAAAAATTAAAAATTAGCCGGGCCTGGTGGTGTGAGCCTGTAATCTCAGCTACCCTGGAGGTGCAGGCGGGGAAAATCAGTTCAATCCAGGAGGCGGAGGTTGCAGTGAGCCGAGATCTCGCCACTGCAATCCAGCCTTCGCAACAGAGTGAGACTCCATCTCAAAAATAGTAATTTAAAAAAAGAAACTGAGGTGCTGAAAAATAACTAGTTCTAAAACTTGTAAGGGTCAGCATGGAACTTGAACTCAGTTTGGACCCAGAGTTCATTGCCACTGATTATCCTGCAATACCTGTGAGTGCTATTTATGCAGAAATTACGTTTGTTGAAGAGCATCTACTGTGTGCCAGCCAGTGTGCTATGTCCTGGGGCTTTGGGATCAGGCAACACTTTGGTTCTGCCTTTTTGGAACTTAAGTTTTAGCAGAGGAGACCACAATTGCACATAGTTACCTAAAGAAGTATATGAAATTGTTGTTAGTACTCTGAAAAAATGAGGTACGTTATATGATTGAACTAGGGAAGGAACATCTAGGGAATAGTCAGGAACAATTTTTCTCTGAGGAGAAAGCAAAGAACCCAATGATGAATCGAGTTAATTTGGTCCAAGAAGAGCAGTTCAGCTAGGGAAGAGCCTGAACTGGAAGGAAGGAGCATGCCGTGATATGTTCTAGGAGCTAAACCATTGTTACTACTGAATAGTGAATGCAGGGGCTGAGGGGAAGGAAGGTATGAGGTAAGGTCAGCTACGTCAGCAGGGTCCCTTATGGTAGCGTTTTGTAGGCCATGGTAAGGATTTCGGTTCCACCATGGTGGGATTTGTGGTTTAAAAGAAATTATGCTATATGAAAATGTGTCAAGGGATGGAGCCTGTAAGGCAGTACTTGAGCTAGAAGCAGAAGCAGGTCCTTTGGTCACAGAAGATTCAGTTCTAAAATGATCGTTGAAAAATTGATTTTACCCTCCACACATGAGGATGTACTTATCTGTCCTAGTTTCTAAACCAATTTTCAATGGACAGTTGAGGAAAATCTTGAAGTTTTATGTTAAACTATTTAGCCTGCCCACTGAAGATTATGAATTTAATTTTTGATTTAAAATCTTTACTATTGTGAAAATACACTGATAATAGGTTTCTTAGAGCTTTTAAACTCTAGACTAATTGTTTGCATAATTATATCCATAATCATGGATGTTATTTTACCTTATTTTGTCCACATGTTAAAGTTAACACAGTTTTTATTTTTTTTCTCTGAACTCATCATCTGCTTTGTTCATCCTTAATAGCATCACCGTCCGGTAGTCACCTGATCTCTGCATCTAGGTCAACTTTGATTCCTTTCTTCTTGCCCTGATGGTCAATTACATACACAAATCTCATTGACTCTAACTCTGCAGTCAGTGTCTTTTATTTTTATTCCTCCCCCTAGGTTCTGTTGGCTCTCGTTTCCTGGGTTTCCTGGCACCAGTTGTCTCCTACAGGCCATCTTACATGTTGCAGCCAGGTTGATTTTTCTAAAGCACAGCTGTCATTGCATTGCCTCCCATTGGCTAGAAAATAAAATCTGAGCTCTGTTTCAGTTATCCACCAATACATAACAAACCACCCCAAAACTTACTGGCTTCATAGAATAATTTTGTTTGTTGACAGTTTTATTAGGAGAATTTGGAAGTGTTCACCTGGGCCATTTTTCTCTGGTCCACATGCTGTCAGCAGAGGTGGCCAGTGCTGGAGGATCCACTTCCACAATGCTTCCGTCATTCACATGCCTCGTCAAAGACTGCTTAAAGGCGGGGCTCAGCTGGCTCTTTTCCTCTGCGTGTAGTGTCAGGGCTTTCTGTGTGATCTCTCAGCAGGGTATTCACACTTTTTACCTGATGAGTCTGGGTTCCAGGAGCCCTAAATTAAGTTAAAGCTACAATGCTTTTTTTTTTTTTTTTTTGAGATGGCATTTCACTCATTTCCCAGGCTGTAGTGCAATGGCACAATCTCGGCTCACCACAACATCCACCTCCCGGGTTCAAACGATTCTCCTGCTTTGGCCTCCCCAGTAGCTGGGATTACAGACATGTGCCACCACACTGGGCTAATTTTGTATTTTTAGTAGAGATGGGGTTTCTCCATGTTAGTCAGGATGCTCTCAAACTCCTGACCTCTAGCAATCCACCCTCCTCAGCCTCCCAAAATACTGGGATTACAGGTGTGAACCACCGTGCCCATTCTTTTTTTTTTTTTTTGCAGTGGCATGATATCAGCTCACTGCAACCTCTGCCTCTTGAGTTCAAGCCATTTTTGTGTGTCAGCCTCCTGAGTAACTGGGATTACAGGCATGTGCCACTATGCCGAGCTAATATTTATATTTTCTTTTTTTTAGTAGAGTGAGGGGCTGCTGTGCTTTTAAAGGATAAGCCCAGATCTGGCACAACTCTCACTTCTTCATATGGCTATTCCTGCTACACCTTCACTGAACTACCTGCCCTTGCTGTATAGTCTCTTTATTGCACTAGTGACTTTATTCTCTCATTGATGAGACTCTGAATTCTGTGAGACAAAATCCATGTGAGAGTTTCTTTGTATGTATTCCCTCTGGTGCATAACAAATTCTTGTTATATAAAATGGTGTAGTACAA